AAATGGCGGCTCCCCGCTTATGCTAATGAAGCCCGGGAAATTCAAATCCCGGGCTTCATTAGCACTATGGGTATGTCTACACTACCCCGCTAGTTCGAACTAGCGGGGTAGTGTAGACATACCCTCTCTCTCTCTCTCTGTCTTTCAGCCAACCCCCCCACTCTCCTCCACATCTAGCATCCGTGTTGCCCCCAGGATAATAGCCCTAACATTGCCACTGCAGGCTCTCCACCCAACACCAAGTGTGATCTCTGTGCTGATCCACTATGGGTATGTCTACACTACCCCGCTAGTTCGAACTAGCGGGGTAGTGTAGACATACCCTCTCTCTCTCTCTCTGTCTTTCAGCCAACCCCCCCACTCTCCTCCACATCTAGCATCCGTGTTGCCCCCAGGATAATAGCCCTAACATTGCCACTGCAGGCTCTCCACCCAACACCAAGTGTGATCTCTGTGCTGATCCATTTGAGGCCTGCGCTCAGCCATCCAACCTGGGGTTGATACACACATGGAAGGGGGCAGTGTGTGTGTGGGGGGGGGGGAAGGGCAGGTTGGAGGAGGGGCTCATGTCAGGGCAATTGGGGAATCTGATTGTTTGTGCCACCCCACTACCTGGACCCTCTATGTCAGCAGAGCTAGTCTGTTGGATTAGCCCCTGCTTAGCATGTACTCCAGATAACAGCCCTACTACTGCTGTTGCTTTGCCGGGACTGAGTCCCTTCAGCTGATCCCAGATTGAGGAATTTGCTGTACGTTGCCCCAGATCCGCCTCCTCAGTTGCCACTGAGGGTCAGGTGTTGGGGGGAGAACCTTTAGCCTCCTAGCTAGCAGGTGAGTTGTATGGGGGGGGCAGAGTACTTGAATTACTTCCTTCCATGGACTCTGTTGGGAAAATTCCCATGGGACATCTGCTCCTGTCTGGAGTGGCAGGAGATGCGGGGTGTGTATTTATCCCCGCACAATGGTAAAAGCCTAGAGATGGTCTTGCCTGAATGAGATGCCAGTGATGGCTCTAACATCCAGCAATCCAACTACCCACCCAGGCATCCTACACTCCATCCATTCCTTACCTTGAACCTTCATCCCCCATATAAATCATCCCTTCATATTGATCTATGAACACCGCACTCCGACCTCCACATCCATCCTTCCATAACCCATCCACCCGCTCAACCTAATTTAATTATTTATTCATTGCTTAATCCCAGCACCCACGATCATCTGTCCCCATTAATGCTCATTCATCCATTGGCAGATCTACAAAGTCGTCCGTCCTTCCATTGACTTATTCACTCACCCATTCATCCTCATACACCTGTCACTCATCATCTGTCCCTGCCCATCCATCCATCCATCCATCCAATTCCCCATGAAACATCCATCCATCCATGCTTCTAATTCCCCATGAATCATCCATCCATCCATCCATCCATCCATCCATCCATCCATCCAACTCCCCATGAATCCCTTATCCATCCATCCATCCATTCTAATTTTCCTATTACTGTCCATCTCCATTGGTGTTGTTTCCTTACCCTAAAAAGACATTCCTCCTTTCCCTTACACATTCATGCGTCCCCACCTATCCTTGTCTCTCCATCCTCCAATCACAGCCTTTCTATGGTCATCCATTTATCCATTCCTTCAACCTTCAGAATGGGCACCTTCTCCAACCTTCTCCATAGATGTACCCACCAATCCCCACCCATGTATATAGTTCTACCCCTATGGCACTCGTAAACTTTCCAGCCATCACTTCCCCATTAAAATACAGTCTAATACTACTGGGTTCTGATACTGACTTGGTAACTGATGTGAGCTTGAAAAGGTTTCTTCCCATCTTGGTGTCTGTTTCTTCTCCCTTTGTGCTCTATTAAGTGTGAGACATTTGACACCAGGACTGTCTCCCACAGAGTGTATGCCCAAGTCGGCCTTAGTCTCAGTTGGGGTGCAGGTGCTACTTTGCTCCATATAATTTTCTCATCCTTTGATATCAACTGGCATCTTATTCCTCTCGGAAATGCATACGTATCCTTGAAACCCCTTCTCCAAACACACAGCCACCCAGCTGAGCGGCGTATGAATGTGTCTATTCCTTTGCCATTTCTATGTATATGATAAACTGTCTCCAACACGGCTTCCATGATATAGCCACTGAACCTTCCTAACGTGGCATCTACCTACTCTTTACAACATGCCCTCTACCCATCCTTTCTTCCATGGTATTGTATTATCCTTTGTCGCATGGCATCAACCTATGCTTCCTTGCATGGCATTTAGCATCCTTCCTTCCTCATCTTCTACCTTGGCATCTACTCATCCTTTCTGCAATGGTATCAGCCTTTTCTTACTTCCATGGGTCCATGTGTCAACCCATCCTTACTTTCTTGGCAACTACCCATGTATCTACCCACCCTTCCTTCCATGGTTGAAACCTGTCCTTTTCATGGTATCTACCCATCCTTCCTTCCACATCATCAACTCCTGTATCCACCCATCCTTCCTTCCACATCATCAACCCCATGTATCCACCCATCCTTCATTCCACAACAGCTCATCATGTATCCACCCATCCCTCCATGGTAAAGATGTACACACACACACAGGACTGGGTATCAGGATCCTCAGCCTTGGAGTATCTTGGCATGTCTCAGATCCAGGCCTTAGAATTTCTGCCCCTTGGGCAACCCACAGACATCACGCAGTGACACCGCAACAAGGAGACTTGGGGGTGAGATCACACTAGTTCCATTTATTCACTTGTCATCACTAATGGCACAGAGATTATTTACAGGAAGCTCTATCAAACAATGCTAGCAGTGGGGCTGGGAGGAGCCATCTTCATTTACCAGGGACACTGCGGATGTTGCGTTGGGTGAACTTCAGTGGCTTCAGGGCTTCATGGATGACCATGCAGGTGTAGGTGACCCCATTGTTCCAGCTGGTCTTGTCAACTGGTAACTTGCTATAGAGGAAGTAGGTCGAGTCGCCATCTCCTTCCTTCATGGATGAGGTGGTAACAGGTTTCATGCTGGTTTGGGATTCGTGGTTCTCCATCCACTTCACTGAGATTTCCGCAGGATAGTAGCCCCGCACCAGGCAGGTGAGGCTGACGGAGTCTCCGTTGCTGCTCAACTCATCAGGGTGGGGGCGCAGGAGATAGACACTTGGAGGAGACATCTTGCCTTGTGTGGGTGGGGATGGAGGACACAGATGAGCCATGAACATCACTGTGCTGGGGCCACATGGGGCCTGTGCATGTGTGTAAGAAGGGTGGGGCTTACAGGAACATGCCTTCACTCCTCCAGGATGGAGGAGCTAGGGACTGGGTAGTCCTGGGATGTAGCAAAGATAGGTAGGGATAGTCTCCATCTCACATGGGAATGGAAAGGGACCCAGGGCAAGAATTTCAGGTTGTTAGGGGCTGGGATTCCCCCTGCAAGACCATCCCTCCCTGCTGGGGGCTGTAGTAGGGGTCTCTCCCTTGGGGACCATACCCTCCTCCTACCTTGCTTCTTGGAGATGGATTTGATGATCGGTGTGGGAAGCTCCGAGTGCTCCACTTTGCAGCTGTATTTCTCTCCATCCTCCCAGTCACGGGTGAATATGGGCAGAGAGCTGGAGGCCGTGAAGGTGCGGTTGTGCTGCTCAGTCAAAGTGAGGGGTTCCGGGCTAAGGGGCCCTGTCTTCTCCCGGGACCAGACCACTCTTAGGTCAGCATCGTTAGGCAGGTTGACGACCAGGCAGGTGACCTTGGGGCTCTGGCCCACGTACAGTTCCTCAGGGGATGGCGGCACCGTGAAGACGAGGATGTTACTGGTGGTTGTAGGTACATCTGGAAACAAGAGAGCCCACATCAAACACTAGGTCTGGTCTCCCCTGTCCGAGCCCACCCCAGCCTCCCCTCTCCCCCGACCCCACCCCGGGCCCCCCCCCCCCCACCCTGCCCAGGCATCCCAGCTCAGTGTTACCTTTGCACTTGCGGGCATAGTCCTCTTCCGTGGTCCCGGTGCCTGGGTGGGACACTCTGCAGGTGTACATCTTGTCTTGCATAAAGTCTTCCTGGGAGACGCTGGCGTTGCTGTGGGTGCTGAAGGTGCGGCCACCAGCGTCCCTCGTGGCAGGGGCCGTCCACCAGCCATTCCACCGTCACGGGTGTGGGGTAGAAGCCGGAGACATGGCAGAGGAGGTCGATGGTGCCGGGGGTGAGTTTGCAGGAGGAGTGGTAGACTTGCACAGTGGGAGGCTGGGGAGTGGAGGATTCTGGAAGAAGGGTGGCAAGTGTTAATTGTTGTGTCGTCCCCTACCGGTCCCTCCACCCCTTTCCACATAGCTTGGGCCTCCCATCTGGCATTCTGTTCCCAACAGCATGGTGCCTCCTTCAGAGACCCCTTTTCCCAACAGTGCCACATCCGTTGCTTCTCTTTTCAGGGTCTCTCTCTTCTCATCCCTCCACCTTTCTCTACATAGTCTCACATGCTCTCTATCTAGATCCAACACCATCCACCTAACCCCAGACATTCTAGTATCCCCCTGGTGTTCCTCACTTTCCCTCCATCCACCCACAGCAGTGGTACAAACATCTCCCCACACTCATAGACTCCCACCCTCTCTCCCTGCAGCCGTCACCACTTTAGTGACCCCCTCTCGCTCTCCTCTCTCGTCCGCGCTGCTCCTACTTGGGATTTCCTTGGTGATGCTTGAGCTGGTGGGCTCGTGCTTAATGGTGCAGTGATAGGTGTTGTCTTCCCAGCTGCTGTCCGAGACGGTGTGGTACAAACATCTCCCCACACTCATAGACTCCCACCCTCTCTCCCTGCAGCCGTCACCACTTTAGTGACCCCCTCTCGCTCTCCTCTCTCGTCCGCGCTGCTCCTACTTGGGATTTCCTTGGTGATGCTTGAGCTGGTGGGCTCGTGCTTAATGGTGCAGTGATAGGTGTTGTCTTCCCAGCTGCTGTCCGAGACGGTGACCTGACTGCTCAGCGAGTAGAGGCCACTGGAAGTTTGCAGCACGGAGGGGTAGTCCTTCACACCCGAGGTGTTGGGGGTCCACTGCACGGTGACTGGCTCGGGGAAATAGCCTTTGACCAGGCAGCCGAAGGTGACCTGGGATGTGGTAGCTTCTCCAGGGCAGGAGGTGAGGGGAAAGACAGACGGGGCTCTGGGACTAGCTGCAAAGGAGGAAGAAAAAGACCGTGAGCTGTGGCCCCAACTCAGCCCACACCATGCTCCGTGTTAATATGTTCTTAGGATGAGCCTAAAGGACTTCCACATCAAATACGAAAGACACAGAAAGGCTCAGAGGGGAAAGCGAGGCAGAGAGAGAAAGAAGAAGGGACAGAGTCACAGCAGGTCAATGCAGAGTCAGGAAGAGATGTTGCATTGAGCCATACAAAGGATCAATTTCACCAAATGGAGGATTGTACCAATAACTGGAGGTAGCATTAAATGTTTAAGTGGCAGAGAAATTCCCCTTGAATGAATCTCAGCTTCTGCAGCTAGAAACAACACAAGATTTTGACAGTAGAAGTATCATTCATGGAGACACTTAGGCCGTGTCCAGACTCAGGGGTTTTTTCGGGAAAAGTAGCCTTTTCCCGAAAAAACTTCCCCTGCGTCCAGACTCAAGCCGCGTTCTTTCGAAATTATTTCGAAAGATCGCGGCTTTTCTTTCGATGGCGGTAAACCTCGTTTCACAAGGAAGAACGCCTTCTTTCGAAAGTTCCTCTTTCGAAAGAAGGCGTTCTACAATGTAAAGAGGCCGTCTTCGAAAGAGAGCATCCAGACTCGCTGGGTGCTCTCTTTCGAAAAAGCGGATTTCCTCTATCAAAAGATCCGCCTGCTGTTTAGATGCGATCTTTCAAAAGAGGCTCTTTCGAAAGAAGCCTGCAGTCTAGACATAGCCTTAGAGGGCTCTCCAAAGAGTTGTCGTGTCACTAACTTTTGGCTTCTTAGAGCTCTGTCTGAAGAGGTGCACACGTTATACTTGCAGTATTAGCAGCATAGCATCAGTAAATATCATACTTTCATTAGGCTCCTAAGTTCATTGCTAAAATCATCGACCCCCGCAAACGTCTGTTGCTCACTGTGTTGGTTAGTGTCCTGGGAAGTCCCTGGACCATTCTTAGGAAAGGCCGGGACTTTCCAAGTCAACCTGGCCATGTGAGCTCTGTGGGTGAGAGTGAGGGTTAATATTATCTGTAGGCGAGGAGGGCTAAGGGTTAGTGGTTTGGGTTAAGAGCAAAGGGAGACCGAGGAAGAATGAAATGCTCAGGGTTTATTACCTTCCCATGCTCCAGTTCAATATTGGACCCTTTTTGGGTGGATTTCTACCCGTTTTGAAACCATTCACCTACTGAGTTTCCCACCTGTTCTCCTGCCATTTCTGAGAGGGGCAACTGAGACTCTGGGCTTCTAACCCATGAGGCCAATTTCCCAAGAGAAATGACACTTCTGCTGCCAGGATGTTTGATACCCGACTGGTGATGCAGAACCCTGGTGGGGTTAGGTTAAGGTGATTAGGAATAGTGCTGGGGTTATGGTTAAGGGTAGAATTGTTCTCTAGGACTTGTCGCACAATGGTCTAGAAATCGAAGGTCAGGGACCTATCACACTATGTCCTTTAAAAAGAAATAACAAGGAGAAGTCTACACATCTCAAGGCCATGGCAGCCTGAGACGTCGATAGTCAGGATTTGAGGGTAAGGTTTGAGACGTTGTGGTTAGGGAGTTGGGTTCAAAGAGATGGTCAAAGATCTTAGGTGCCCCTCGCTTCTGACCCACAGCCCTAGCCAGCCCAGCCCAACAACCCCAGCTCTGCCAGTGCCCCTCACTCCCAACCCACAGTTCCTGCCTACCCAGCTCTGGCCCCCCAGCCATGCCGGTGCCCTTCACTCCTGACCCACAGCCCCATCCAGCTCAGCCCAACAACCCCAGTCCTGCTGATGCCTTTCACTCCCGACCCACAGCCCCACCCAGCCCAGGCCTGCAACCCCACCCCTGCTGGTGCTCCTCACTCCCAACCCACAGTTACTGCCTGCCCAACCCTGGGCTCCCCCCTGTGCTGGTGCCCCTCACTCCTGACCTGCTGCTCCAACTAGCCAAGCCCTACAACCCCAGCCCTGCCAGTGCCCTTCACTCCTGATCTGCAGCCCCTGATAACCCAGCCCTCGCCCCCCCCACCCCCCTGCTGCTCCAACTAGCCAAGCCCTACAACCCCAGCCCCGCCAGTGCCCTTCACTCCTGATCTGCAGCCCCTGATAACCCAGCCCTGGGCTCTCCCAGCCCAGCCTGTGCTCCTCATCCCTGACTTGCAGCCCCTGCTAGCCCAGCCCTGCCCCCCCCCAGCCCAGACTGTGCTCCCTGATCCTGACCTATAGGCTCAGCCAGACTAGCCCTACACCCCCAGTCCTGCTGGTGCCCCTCATTCCCAACTCACAGCCCCTGCTAGCCCAGCCCTGCCCCCCAGCACCACCAGTGCCTCTCACTCCCGACCCACAGTTCCTGCCTGCCAAGCCCTACACCCCAAGTCCTGCCGGTGCTCCTCGCTCCTGACCTATAGCCCATGCTTGCCCAGCCCTCAGCTCCTCCAGCCCTGCTGGTGTCTCTCATTCCCAACCCGTAACCCCAACCAGATGCCCCTTGCTCCTGACCCACAGTTCCTGCCTGCCCAGCCTTTGTCCCCCAGCCCTGCCAATGTCCTGACTCCTGACCCACAGCTCCACCCAGCCCAGCCCTACACCCTGAGTCCTGCCAGTGCTCCTCACTCCTGATCTATAGCCCATGCCTGCCCATCCCTGGGCTCCCCCGCTCTACCAGTGCCCCTGACTCCTGACCTGCTGCTCCAGCTAGCCCAGCCCTACAACCTCAGCCCTGCCACTGCCCTTCACTCCTGATCCGTAGACCCTGCACCCACAGTTCCTGCCTGCCCAGCCTTTGTCCCCCAGCCCTGCCACTGTCCCCACTCCTGACCCACAGCTCCACCCAGCCCAGCCCTACACCCTGAGTCCTGCCAGTGCTCCTCACTCCTGATCTATAGCCCATGCCTGCCCATCCCTGGGCTCCCCCGCTCTACCAGTGCCCCTGACTCCTGACCTGCTGCTCCAGCTAGCCCAGCCCTACAACCTCAGCCCTGCCACTGCCCTTCACTCCTGATCCGTAGCCCCTGTTAACCCAGCCCCCACTCCAAGCCCTGCTGGTGCCCTTGACCTGCAGCCCAACCAAGCCTAACCCTACAACCCAAGCTCTGCTGGTCCCCTACATTCCCAAACTGCAGCTGCTGACAACCGAGCCCTGGCCCCCCAGCCCAGCCTGTGCTCCTTGATCCTGACCTATAGCCTCAGCCAGCCTAGGCCTACAACCCCAGCCCTGCTGGTGCCCCTCATTCCCAACCCGTAACCCCAACCAGCCCAGCACTACAACCCAAGCCCTGCCAATGCCCCTCTCTCCCAACCCACAATTCCTGCCTGCTCAGCACTGGCCCCCAACCCAGCCAG